CACCGCAGGTGATGTGCCCATTACATTTTCTGCCACATGGAATGCAAATACGGTGATCATCGTAAGTGAGCATCGATATATGGCACTCTTCACACTTTCGTCCGAAAGTGTTTGAATCCGAAGTGCTGGGATGAACGGTGTTCAACTCTCCGGTATCCATATTTTCCGCCATCTTGAAACTGAAGGCGGGCTTTTGAGTTTCGTTACTAAAACTACAATTTTTTACTCAAGGTGACTAAGTACGAAGTTCTTGACGTCCACAAGAGCTTCCTGACACACTAATAGTTCGGTGGCTGTGTTGATGGGTGGTAACAATGTATTTCCACCGCAAAAACAATGATATTTTGGCAAGCCCAAATTTCAACCGTGAATCAATCTCGTGGTTAAAAATGGAAGTATGCAAATCAGATGACAGGGGAAGGACGCCCCCTACGGGAGCTATCCACTGTTATTTCGATTTTATTTAACCAGTATTATATGATAATTGGCAATTATCCCATTTGTTTATGAAATTAAAATTTCATTAACCAAAGGGGTTAGTATGCAATACTCTGTAATAAACGTGAAATAAATCATCATGGACATGTATCCTAACATGTATAATCTATGTACCAAGTTTTAATGAAAACTGGCATAGCATGTCCAAAATACAACATTTTCAAAAAACAAGATGGCTGCCAGTCGGCCATTTTAAATCGAATCGCTAAACCACTGCATGTGCATATGTCCCGCATAAAGTACTAGGCACATGCAAAGAATGAACGGAATCGGTTCAAGGGATTCTGAGATATGACTCCGGACGGACGCACAGACGCACGGACACACGGACGGAGGAGACCGAATTATAAGTCCCCGTTTTCGGACTTCGTCTGAACGGGGACTAATAATGGGACAATCGGCTAAACTAAAAAATGGAGGCGCCTCGAAAGGGCGTCTGCCAGACCGTTTCTCACCCCTGGAAGGTGGTGTGTGGTTAGCTCCACATTGTATTCCAGGCACCAGAGGAGAATTTGCTCTGCTAGGACCGACAACGATGGGGAACGCGCCCCCCCCCCCTCCTTGTTGATGTAGGAGACCACTGCTGTGTTGTCTGTGCGAAGCAGGACTCTGTGGTCTCGAACTTCGGGTCAAAAGTGAGAAAGTGCTAGGTGCACTGCTTTCAGCTCGAGCCAGTTGATATGGTGGTCCCGAACCCATTGCGGGGGCCATATTCCTTGGGCTTGTTTGTCCAATAGATGCGCTCCCCAACCTTGGAGGGCGTCTGTTACCAGAGTCATGGTTGTGACAAGTGGGTCCAAGGGGACCCCCTGTCTGAGGTTGGTCAGTGACGACCACCAGGACAGGGTTTCCTTTACTTGGTCCGGGATCAATACCCGTCTGTTTAGTTCCCGTAGGTGAGCTCGGTATTCCAATAACAAGCGTTGGACCAGGCGGCTGCGTAGTGCGGGGTGGGGAACTACCCTTCGAACGGAGGTCATCATTCCGATGAGCCACATTAGTTCTCGGAGAGACACTGAAGGTACGCTGACTAGGCGTTCTGCTCGGTTGCTTAGCACTAGGCAACACGCTTGAGATGGGGGAACCAGGCCTACTTCGGTGTCGAACTCCATGCCCAGAAACACCAACTGTTGCGTCGGGTCGGGATGGGACTTTTTGTGATTTACTAAAAAGCCCAACCGGTGAAGTAAATCCTGTGTAAGCCTTACATGTCTGGCTAATAATCCCTTGTCAGGGTTGAGTATCAACCAGTCGTCTAGGTACGGATTGATGTGTACCGACATTTGGTGAAGCAGCAGCACTACCTGATTCATCACTCTGGTGAATACGTAGGGCGCTGTGGATAACCCGAAGGGAAGCACCCGAAATTCGAATACTTGGCCCAGATGAGCGAACTCGCTGGGTGCATCGGTATGTGCAGGTAAACGTCGCATAAGTCTAAAGAGGCTAGCCAGTCGAGCCGGTGGATGGAGAGTAGGACACTGGATGGTGTCTCCATGCGGAACCGATCGAGAAGCACATACTGGTTTAGTCTTGTTAGGTCCAGAACCGGACGCTAGCCGCCTGTAGATTTTGGTATTACGAATACATTTGAGTAGAAGCCCGGACTCAGTGCCGGCTGAACTATTCTGTGTATGGCGCCCTTTCTTAGCAAACTGTCTACTTCCTGTCTGATTGCTTCCGCCTTGCGGGGATCCCCTGGCAGTGCCCCCAACGGGGGGACACTGACAGGGGCGGAGGAGATGTCAGTGGTATTCTGTAACCGCGTGTGATCACCTGGAGCGTCCAGGGGTCGGTTACCCGCTGCCTCCAAGCCGGAATGCACCGGCGCAATCTGCGTGCGACAGGGATCTGTGGCCATGGGTTCGGCGATTGCAAGAGGGGGGGTTGTTCCTCCTCTACCGTGAGGTGAGCCTCCCCGTAGATCACTGGGGTTACTAAGCTGTAGCCTGATCTCTTGCCGAACGCAGGCCCATCCCCCGTCGCAGAGATAAGCGTCAAACATGCTTACCCCGCTGCCGGGGATGATGACCACCCAAGAAGGAGGAGGAGCCACCACCTGGTCCTCACTTTCCTGGGAGTGCGCCGCTACCCTTCCCTCCCGCGGATGGGTACGAGCACTTGCCTCCTGGCTGACTCTGTTTAGCGGAGCTAGTCCTAGGGCGTTGTGCTTTCTGTGCTTGGGGCGCCCTCCGTTTACCCTTGGCAGCGGCCAACTGGCTATTGGATTCGACTTGGACCATTTGGTTTGTTACACCCCGAAGCTCTGCGACTGCCCCTGCTATCTCCCCATCAAAGAGGGTGGAGGATCTCCAGTCTGCGTAACTGAGGCGGTGGCGTACCCCCTGACTCAGTTCACCGGCGAAAACACACGCGTCTAAAACCGCGTCTCGCTGCACAGTAGTAGCCCCGGCCAAGAGAGCCATATGACACTGGAGGATATCGCACATAGCCGTACGGTGGCCTACCATTAACTGTGTCGCTTGCTCTAGAAGGCGAGTGCGTTCTGCATCTGAGGTCTCAGAGTCCTGGGCGCGCACAAGAATGCGCTCCAGTGTGGCGCCCACAAATTCAAGGAAATTGATGAGTCGCAACTCCGCTCTCAGGGCATGTTGGATAGTCTCAGAAAGGGTCGATGAGAATGTCCATGGAACGCGGCCATCCCCCTTCACCCGGCTGGCAAAACAGAAGTTTGTGGTATCGGGGTCCGGTCGGGGACTTCTGGTTTCGTCCCACGAATTGGGACAAAGTATGTTCTAACCCGAACGCCTTGTCCCAAAAACGGAGTCCTGGCTACCAGCGTCCCCGTTGGTGTTGTGTGTCTGAGGTTCCCGTGGAGACCTGCTGCCACTAGCCTGTGTGTGTGTGTGTGTGTGTGTGTGTGTGTGTGTGTGCGTGTGTGTGTGTGTGTGCGTGTGTGCGTGCGTGTGTGCGTGCGTGCGTGTGTGCGTGTGTCCACGGCTGGGAACAGTGCTTTCTGTGTTTCTTCCTACTTGCCGGCTGAGAGGCCGCAGTGGAGACAGCTCGCTCCGCCTGCAAATGATCTACTCTGCCTGCCAAGGACGCAATTTTCCCTGACAGTCCTTCGACCAATGCCCTCATTTCAGCGGCAAAACCGGCGCCGTGCAATGATGGGTCCACAACGGGACCCAGCGCGGGCCCCATAGGAGGAAAGACCTCCAGGGGCACAGCCTCGCTTTTGCCGGTAAAGTTGGGAAACCCACTGCCTGAAAAAACAGACTGTGTAGATGCCCTCCAATCAGCGGGGGAGACCAAACAAAATCGGCACCCCCACTATCGGGCCCTTTGCTTGGTATCCCGGTATGAGAACCGGTAACCGAGCGCAAGGACTTGTCATTCATGCCAACGCACAACTCACTTGTACCCATGCCGGTAGCACTTGCCGTGCGACCTTTTTGCGAACGAGCGACGCGGTCAGTCTCGGCTATTTTGACATGCTGCTGGAACGATTCCCAGGCTTCTGAACCCCAGTGATTACACAAATTCTCTGGGCAGACACCCGAACCCCGAACGCATGTGAAACAACGATAACACTTTGAATGCACGTTCCATTCCTGCAATAGCTGCGTACACTGAGTACAAATCTTCCTCATAAACTGAGGAGACAATACCGACGGTGAGCCTCTGGCGTCGCCAGTGCATCTGTCCATTTCTAAATACATTAAAAATAAAAGACGACGTGCATGAGGGAAAAGAATTACAGTTGTAAAAAGTGCCGCCATGAAATCAACATGTGACTACGTAGTGGCGCCGGGTTTGATTTCTTTGTTGTGGAAAAGCATAACACACAAAGGGGAAAACGACACAAGGGTAAAAAGACAAGAAAAACTTATCCTACCAGCTAGAATGTCGGATGCCGCAGCTGCGGCGACGACCCACGCTAGAAACCCAGACAGGAAAAAGCAACAAAGCCAGGCAGAGCCGCTCAGAGAGAATTGAAGAGTGATGGACGGCTACCTATGACGTTGCCATGTGGCCTCGGTCATGTGGGTTCGTGACGTAAGGGGTAAAAAAATCTTGAGGTCATGGGGCTTCCCCTGACCTAGATTCTATCTCTCCGTCACCGGCAGAATCGCTGATTAATGCCTACAGTTCAAAATAGTCATTTTGACTGACCGGAGTCTATGGTGGGTAATTGAACGTAGTGAATTAATCTCATACATGTAAAAACATTGAAATGCAACTAGCCATACCCTAAGTTTTTTCACTTTTGATGATGCACCAGCAATTCTAAATAAACCTTCTTCTTCCACACCCATCTGTAGAATAGCTTCACAGCAGGCTTCAATGGGGAATGCTATTTCTCTTTCTGCCACTCGTAGGTGGTCCACCAATTCTGTGCCAAACACTTTCTGCTGGGGGTTTTCCAAGAGCAATGCTCTCATGGCAGGTATCAATTGGTCAAGGTTGGCTGCAGCATTCTTGTGATACTTTGCCTGTTCTTCTACAAACTAAGTAAAGAAACCAATAACAGTTAAAAATGTGCTGGCCATGGAATTTTTTTCAGTTTTTGTCAGAATGTTTGAGAAAAAAATTTATTTTCAATTTTCACAAAAATCTAAATAAAGGCACGAGATTAGAATGAATAATAATAATGTAAGCATGTGTCACATATTGAATATAGAGTACAAATTAACTAGAAATTTTGTTTGTTCGCCTAATAGAGGACAGCTGTAGAAGACAGAAAATAGATTGGAAGCAGGTACTCTCCGAAAACAACAGAACAATGATACATGTACTACTTTGTCTATACTTAACTAATTACTTTTAATTTCTACTTTGATAAATAAAAGTAAGAAAAACTTGGAATTTTTTAATGTGAATAGAAATCGTAATGAAGTCAGTAGTTTGAGTAACCTGTATATAAAGTAATTTTGCACAAAAACATAACATAACATTGCACAAAAAAGAATAAATCATGATATCCTTATTGTTCTTCACACAATAAGATACATTCTACTGAGGGTATTGATCTAATACTTAATAATTTATAACTGAATTACACATTTAGGGACAAGACAACAATATTTATATTTTTGATAATCACATATATTACTTAATATTGTGTGATTCACAGTTTTTTGTCAGAATTTTTGTGAAAAATAAAAACAAACACACAATTTTAAGGATAACAAATGAAAATTGTGCACCCACAGTAATTTTGGAATACAGATTTTTTCAGTGCAAGATTTATAGATGCTTGTTGTCCTGAGCCACTAAAGTGAGGTGCTTTGGATTAATATACAGCACAAATTTATTCATCAAAAACTTTTTTCTTTCTATGCAGGATTTTTTTGAAAATTTTGAAGAGGTGGAGAAATTACAGATAGTGGAAGATGATTTCTCCATCAAAAATATGTGTGCAAAAGACTTACTTCCACTAACTTTTCTGAATATTCACTTTCTCTTGCTAGCAATGCCAACAGGTCAGTTACATAGGAATCCTGTGGGTAAGAAAGAAGTCATCAACCCTTCATGCTGTATGTATCAGTAGATTGCTGGCAGGTGTCATCAAAAACTGTGTTTGATCCAATAGAGGAGCATGTGAGGAATAATGTTTGTTTGGGTTGTGTTTTTCAAGTACATCAATCATGTGTACACATGTTTATTTATAAATAAGTATGGCCACACCGACTTAATTTTATGGATGACATCACCAATGACGAGTCTCCACAAATTGGTTTTCTGTCCAGAACTTGCCGACTCGTATTGTCGCAAAGTGCCGGCTTGTCGTAAAACTCGTTTTGGACTTTCTCAAAACGTGCCAATTTTGTCGTAAATGATCTTCTGCACATGCGTATTGCGTTGCCGGGAATTCCAACATGGCGACCACGCCACCAAAATACGCGAGCATAAAAGTTCAGAGGAAAATCGGAGGGAATTGTTGTAGACTGGTACGCAATTGACGTCGGCCAGGGAGATGTGACGTTTACACAGAGTGGCTGTCCCGCGTTTCTTCTGCAATGATGAGAAAAATGGGAGAGGAGTGGAGGTGTATGGTGGCCTAAAAGTCAGTCAGGCGACAAGTCAGTTCGGTTGCTTTGTCCGCATTGAAGCCGACAAAACTGCAACAAAAGCAGAGAAAGCTCCTCGGCCGAAGTCCGCTTTTGAGATGAAGGAAAGTTTCTTATTTTTTTTTCATTTTCTGATTTGGATAATTTGCTTGAACACACAGTCAGTAATATTTTGATCAGATGACAAATTTTCATCAAGATACATGTACATAATTTTCTGCATCCAAATTTTTGTTGGTGTTTTTTTTTTCAATATCGAGCCTCTTATAATTTGTTATAGTTTTGCTTCATTTAATATTTATTTATTTCTTGTTGTTTTTATGATAATTACGTAATTTTTATACCAGCTCCGTATTCCTGTGGTTTTTGCAGCATTATTTTTTTTTGGCAGTTTTTTTTTTTTTCGCCCTCTCGCATTAGATTTGGGGTCTCCAGAGGATGTCATCCATAAAATTAAATCAGTGTGGCCTATGTCAGATTACATCATTAAACAAAACGATTTATGTATATATGCCATCCTGTATTGTTCTTCATGCCAAATCAATATGAGTGCAAATATTTTTTTTTAAATTTACAGTTAATTTTAATATTCAAACCCACACACCTAAAACTAGTACAGCTTTGGAGAAGAAATAAAAGCATCCTTGCAAAAAAGTTTTCAAAATAGACAGAATTGCATATATAACCCTGCCTTGTTACAAATTCTAATAGTGGTGTGAAACCTATATGTACCCACTCAGCTAGAACCAAATAACTGGCATCCATTGATCAAACAAGCAAAAGAAATAAAACATTTTGATCATAAATTTTTTGAGTGAATAACTAAAACATCAAAACTACACCTAACTACAATAGGTGTTACAAACACAGTTCATGACAAGTTCATATTTTAATCACAATGTCACACAACATTTGACCTTTTAAACATCAAATACAGTACACATATTTTACAAACACCAGCTGTTTGGGCTTGTATAGCAATTACCTACAATAATGCTGCTTTCAACTCTGTTATTGTTATTACCCTATATTTCACAGTCTGAATTGGAGACAACATCATTAATATGAACTGATATACAAGATGTATATATACCATATTAAATTTACTGAATACGAAGAAATTAAAACAAAAGTTATTAATTAATTGTCACTAAAACTTTACTATATTTGATGAGTATTCTAATATGATTACAGAAAAAGTGGGTGTGGGTACTATGCAATATATATTTATTATTCAATGGATTTGCTAAATTTCATTCAAATGAATGTGTAAAATTATAATATATATTATTTGCACCCTCAAACTGTGGATTTAAAACAGAGTATGTCGGCTCAAGATATCCAGTGTTAGTTATTTTTTCTTGTACCTCTTGGTTAGTCATAACAGCAATCGCTTGGTCATGATATTGTGCTAACTTCTGTGCTACCTTCCAGCTGATTTCAATTAAGACTATAAATCTCTTATACATACATGTGCATTAACATACATTCACAAGAGACAAATTTTCACAAATTCAGTGAGTCAGTGACTTTTGTAACATTTTTTCTTCAGGAATGCCATAAAATCCTCAACATTTTAAAGTACCGGATACCCAACCATAGATGATTGAAACAAAAATTGTAACAAAAAAATACAATTTCATGAACACTATGTAATAGAAACCATCAATTGCATTGTATACTAGATCATTAAAGAATTACTATTTTGACAATAGAAACATCGCTGTCATCGTATGCGCTACTAATGAAGCAAATATCTAATAATACACATCTTGCTCTACATGTGGTCCCCACCATAAATCATTCTGAGTCAAATGCTGAAACTGAAATAGTGCTGAGTAAGTAATATGATTACAGACTTTTATAGAATGTGACTATTAAACTTACTCTAGCGGATGCCATTTTACTGCTAGCCTCTTCCATCTCTTCTTTAAGCTGATCTATTTTAGCCACATGTTCTGGCAAATTACTTCTCCCAGCGGTTGTAGCTCTTACTGCAGATAAGTGTCTGAAAACAAAGTCATCATCTATGGTAAGAGTCACAGCATCAATACATTTATTAAGATTTGAATAAATGTAAATCTCCTTGTACCAAGTCTAAGATCTCGGATTGTGATATGATAACACCAGCAATTATTAACTATAAAGTCAATCTGCAGTAACCCTGATCAGACATTTGGTGACCAAATTAATACCATAATGGCTCCTTGTATTTTACATGAATGACCTGTGGGTGTTTGCATGGTCAGTATACATGATATTTTGATGATCCAGAATACAATAAATATAGTTTTTGGTTTTGCTTTCACTAGAGAAATGTAAACAACAAGTTATTGTTAATGACATAGTCCCATTGGAATTAGTTATTCATGCCAAAAATAAAGTAATATGCACCAAAAGCATAGTTAATAATTTAGAGTGAATAATTGGCTGATCTAGTATCAACAGAAATTAGATGCATTAAATGACTCTTCCGAAATTGTAATATATTGTCAGAAATTAAATAGGGTATGCTATTCATGCATTTTTTTTTATCCTACCTGAATTTCATTTGTCCAGGCTCATGTACAGAGATACACATCAAATCATCATAGACATGACATGTATCTCAACATGTATAATGTTTGTATCAAATTTGAAAACAGACAAATCCTGTCCAAGAAACCACATTTTCAAAAAAAAAAAAAAAAAGATGAATGCCAGTCTTTGATCCGATTATGGAACAAACTGACATGGACATGTATTCCTATATGTATGATGTATGTGCCAAATATGAAAATGATCCCTAAGCCTTGGAGACAATTGTATAGTCAAAAAGCAAGATGGCTGACAGTCAGCCATATTTGATCTGATTATGAAACAAACTGACATGGACATGTATTCCTATATGTATGATGTATGTGCCAAATATGAAAATGATCTCTAAGCCTAAGTACTATTACTCACCTTGATCTTGCTGAATCCATATCTAGCGTAGCTTTACCTAATCTCTTTTTCTGTGCATAGACATTAGGAATGTCAACCTAAGGCAATAAATTTAAATGAAATGAAGAATTTTATACAATAAATTATATGTATTTTCATAAAAAGAAATGCAAGTTGCACAATACTAATTGATCTTTACAACATGTATTGTGAGAGCTATAAATGGCTGATGATCACTCTTTGATCAGCAAGTATAGATAAAAATCCTTAAATTTTAATGCTGCTTGTGAGAATCTTATTTCCCCTTTTTAATCACAACGATTTCAAATTCTCATCATTCTATTGCAAGAATAATTGCATACTCGCAACAACCAGTGAGAATTATAATCAAACTGTTCTTACCTCTGCTAATTTATTTAGTGGTTCAAGTACTTTAGCTTCTACCTCCATTTCAAACACAGTTTTGTCTTTGGCTATGTTCTGTTGACACTCTCCGCATGTGGCCAGCATAGACCTGTACAAAACATACATATATAGGCATTTCAGTTAATTACAGTTAATAATTACATTCAAAGTGTGCACATTAAATTCTGTTGGTAAATCTTGCATATCTAGGGGGGGGGGTATAACAATATTTTCAGACTGAGCAGTCAGAGGAGAATTGAGTAGGTACCAAATCACGGCAAACATATACTGTAAAATACTTTATTTTTGCACGGAATAAATTTTCGCTGAAGGAAAGATTCAGCGAAAATGAAATCCAACAAATATACCTTTTTTCCTATATATTACATTCAACTCATCAAAAAATAAATTCCATACAAAACACACAAAAAGTCTTTTCAGCGAAAATTAATTCCAGCTTAAATAAAGTATTTTACAGTATACAAATCATTGGATATTGGTACATTACTGCTATATGTTTCAATCTAGAAGAGCAGAAAACAAGTCATTGTCAATGACACGTCCCCGTTCCGTTCATATTTGAGTGACATATACATTCAAAGCAGATCATGACCGAAATGCACCTGCATATGTACAACACATTGTACTAAATCTGAACAAAATCCATCCATGCATGACTGAGATCCGGTTCCGGAATTGTGAAAATACGTGATTTTGATGCATTTTCGGCCTTAAAATGGCCATCATTCAGCTATTGTTAAGCGGATCATGAAACAAATGCACATATCTATTTGTGACATGATGTACCATGTGTGTGTGAAGTTTGAACTTGATCAATCCAGACATGTCTTGGATACGGATCCAGAACTGAATTCTTTAACAAAATGGCCGCCAGTCAGCCATTTCGAACTTGATCCGAAAAAAAAAAAGACGTGCATCAAGGTCCTATTATGTTTAATGTATGTACCAAATTTGAACAAAATCTGTCCATGCATAACTGAGATCCGGGTCCGGAATGGTGAAAATGTGCGATTTCCATGCATTTTTGGCCTTAAAGCGGCCCCCATTTGGCTATCGTTAATGAGATCATGAAACAAATGCACATACATATTCGTGACATGATGTACCTTGTGTGTGTGAAGTTTGAACTTGATCAATCATGACATGTCTCAGATACGGATCCGGAACTGAATTCTTTAAAACAAAATGGCCGCCAGTCGGCCATTTCGAACTTGATCCGAAAAAAAAATGATGTGCATCAAGGTCCTATTATGTTTAATGTATGTACCAAATTTGAACAAAATCCGTCGTTGCATAACTGAGATCCGGGTCCGGAATGGTGAAAATGTGCAATTTCCATGCATTTTCGGCCTTAAAGCGGCCCCCATTTGGCTATCATTAATGAGATCATGAAACAAATGCACATACATATTCGTGACATGATGTACCTTGTGTGTGTGAAGTTTGAACTTGATCAATCCAGACATGTCTCGGATACTACTCCAGAACTGAATTCTTTAAAACAAAATGGCCGCCAGTCGGCCATTTCGAACTTGATCCGGAAAAAAAATGACGTGCATCAAGATCCTATTATGTTTAATGTATGTACCAAATTTGAATGAAATCCGTCGTTGCATAACTGAGATCCGGGTACGGAATGGTGAAAATGTGCGATTTTGATGCATTTTCGGCCTTAAAATGGCCGCTATTCGGCTATCGTTAATCGGATCATGAAAAAAATGCATGTGCATATGTCCCATATAATGTGTGATGTATGAGTGAAGTTTGAACTTAATCAGTACATGCATGTTCGAGATACAGGTGATCACGGACGGACGGACGCACGCACACACACAGGGCAAAACATAAGTCCCCGTTTTCGGACTACGTCCGAACGGGGACTAATAAAATCATTGGTTGGGTTCACAATTGCTTTTTATCATATGGGATCAAAGATGTCAGGGGAAAACCAAGAGGTGGAGAATGAAGCTATATTTATCAATGTATTTAAAGTAAAGTGCCTTGGCACAAAAATGGAATAGAAGCCCTACTGGTAAGCCAGACAAGTCTACATTACAATGTGCATGGAATGAGCTTTTAATCAGTTGGAATACAAAATGTATAAGAGAATTCATCAGCATTACATGAATATTCATAACTTCAAACCTCTCATGGTAATTGCATTCTGATATACTGACACATTAAGCTTTTTACCCTGTACGAGCTACATACAACTACGTATTTTTGCTTTCAGTGAAAATAAAATCCAGCGCATACCGATATACCTTTTTTCTATACTTCCCATTCAACTCATCAAAAATCAATGAAAACATACAAAATAACCATTTTTTTTGGCAAAAATTAATTATGTATTTTACAGTATCAGATTACAAAGATATTGAACATAATGTTTAGCTGAGTGGAGTTAACACTAGTCAATGTACACAATACACAAAGTACATGTAGTAAAGTTTAATTTCAATCAGAACATAACTATTACCTTTATGGTCATACTTGTTATAACATTGATGATACAGTAATTAAACTAATCAATAAATTAAATAAATCATGATTTAAACTAGTAAATGTTTGTATGAATCTGAATAAGTATTACAAGACCACACCTAGGCATAAAGCAGTGTTCTTCACAATCTGAAATACATGGTGGTCAGTCTAATTTGCATAAATTTACATATTAATTTGCATACAATATATACCACTGGCAGTGAAAAGACTACTCAGCGTAGTCACCTATGGTGGTTGCAGCGAGTGTACAGTAATAATATTGTTTTTCCAAATAAGAACAGTATGATTTTAAACATTTGGTCATGCATACACTTTTCACTTGAGACAAAAGTACATAAACTGAACATAAACGTAAGCCCAGAATGCAAAAGGTCATCAGTTTGCTTTTCCCATACTGTTTCACGGCTAGAATTTTCATTTTTGTTAAAGTTAACATGCCATCTTCTAATATATCATTGTCTTTGCATATATATATCATTCAAATTTATTTCCTACTTTCGTTATCACAAACACGATTACTAAAAAAGACAGCTATGATCGAAACTTCTTTAGTTGTATACGGTACGTAACAAGCAACGACAATGAATTTAGATGAATAACACATAAACCGCCGCCTTGCTGTTTACTTTTTCACTATTGCCATAAAGACACTTCCAGTGGTCATTGTTTGTATGTGGAGTCTTGAAAAACGATTGGCGATTCTTCATTTGTTACAGCCAGGGAAGAACACTGTAAGCTGTTTACAAATCATTTCAGCCGAGTGTTCATTGGTGGGCGGATGTCGACAGTAACTAGGTGGCCTTAGCACTTGATGGGTCTACATAAAACCCCTTGTGGAGTGTGGAGGAATGCTGCATAGATGTCTAAACCATCCCATAGTGTGTGATGTTTGCATAAATGTGATGGACAATGAGATAGTAGTGCTATCCATGTCCAGTAATACAATGAAGTTCCAAATCCTTAGTGCAACCCATCATATACCTTACACTTATAACATATGAACAGGTATCAAAGCAAACATTTCATTCATAATATCAATTAGATCATCCTAAGTATAAAGAAAATAATTAAAAAAAATGTTTTATAATGTATCCAAGGTGTGATTTAATTTAATGTTTACTGCTTCCCGTTTGAATCACACATCTGATACTTTATAAAGCATTCACTTTTCCATGAATTCTGCTCATCAACAAAAATCTGAATTTCCAAGTTGCTTAGTATCAATCAATCATTTATTATTCACTTTTAATGGTTAAATAAAACTCTTAAAGTCTTACCCAAGTATGGAGTTGTTGCCCAGCATCTGGCTTGACTCCATCATACTAGCAGCTAAATGGCTATCTGGTAGTTTTTTCTACAAAACAAGATTATTCATGTAATGAAGAGAAAGTTATTGATAGCATCACCATGTGCTGAAGTCTGGCATGGATACACCATTTGAATGCATTGCTGAATACAAGCATGACATGCATGACTGATTTAAATAGCTGGTCTGTGTTTTATGCATAGGTTTACAGGTACATATGCAGGTATTGTTACTGGTACATTGACTTGTAAGCCTTTCAGGCTTTATACATTCTGTAAATGTGCAATGAAAAAAATAATTTTTAACAGTATAACAGAAAACAAAGCTTGCAACAACAAGATTACATAGTTTTTAATTGATAATTTATTGATATAAATATATCAATAACCAAAATAATTATTATTCAATATTTTTATATTTAACTGCAGCATTTGCTTTAATATTAATGCATCTCAAATAGTGGTTCGAGTAAGCCAAAAGACTGTGTGGGTGTGATTTTAGGTATGCAACTTATCCATTTTAGCAGGTCAGTTATGCATGTGTAACGGCCTGGGTCTTATTAGGCTAAACATTTCGAAATAAAGCCGGTTTCGGGAAGCTGGGCGGAACCATTAATGAGAAATGGACTGTTGACTAAATGACTTACGA